CATTGATTATTGCTTTGCTTTGAAAATATCTCCTTTCGAGATCTTTAATGTAATGGACTTTTTCGTACATCGGGTTGCCGTTGTACTCGAAATATTTGAAGATCTTGATCACCGTTGCTATAGGTGATATTCATACTTGTGCCCACAGTGGTTCGTCATGCCTACGATATATCCACGATTGTTATCCACAAGTTGTTTGTAGCCATTTGCAGGCGGAGGACCGTCGTATCAGCTACGAGCTCCTAGGAATATTCGTAGGAGAACCCTTACTTTTGCATTGAAACCACCTTTCACCAATCTCAGGTGGTATTTGTTGGGATTGCACTTGTTTGAAAGAACGGATCTTTGATTGTTGGTCTCCCGTATTGCCTTCTCAATCAACAGGCATTTGTAGAAACTGTCGTAGGAGATTTCAACAGTATATATAAAAGGGAAACCCGTGAAGTTTTATTTAGACTCGGGTTCATCAAGTCTACAACCCCCACCTAATGCTGTATGGCACGGGCTCAAGTGCGAGTTCAGTTTCTTTGTTCGAATCAAATGTAAGGTTGAATCCCTTCTTGTTCTTGACGGCTCAGTTTCTTATATCATTCATGTGGAGTTTAGAACCCAATTTGAGCTTAACATACAAGTTCACTTGCAAGTTGATTGGCTTCGGTAGTAAGATCTTCGTCATTTGATTCAAAATTTAAGACTTCTGTAAGTTTGTTCGTTGTTTTGCTTTGTTCCAGTGTAAATTCTTGTTCAAGTCTAAATCAATATCTTTGCTTGATGTTCTAGTTTTGTTCAATCCCCTGCCAGGTCCAAGTCTTCAAGTTCAAGTTGATTTTCATTCACATCCTTGCTCGTGTGCAGTCCAATTTTCATGTTCTTTCAATTCGAATTTGAATTAAGTCTTTTAATTAGTGTCTTTTGGAGTTCAACAGGTCTAGGTACGATCTCATTTTTGTCCATTGGATGTGCAAATTCAAGTCCAAGTTATGGTCCGTCTTCACCTGAAATTTCTGCAGCGTCCCGGCGTCTCCCCCGTTTTAGGGGAAAACTACGAGAAAATTGGGCCTTTCCCACCGCGCAATTAAAGGCGGATGGTAGGTTGTCCTCTTGCGAGGAGACGCGGCGTTGATATTTCTTCCCACACGCGCAATAAAGGCGTGTATGGGGCTCTGACCGGTACCTGCTTTTAAAAAGATAATTTTGCTTTCCCCCGCTCGGGGTACTTATGATGTGACTCCGCCTCGCCGTAGGTGCCGCACCGGGGTCCCTCCCACCACGCCGCAATAAAGGGTGTATAGGCGGTTTTCTGGTGCGCAGAACACCGAAGTAGAGTTTTAGGCGATTTGCTCGCTTTCGTCGTAAGCATTCAGACTGGCGTCCCATCCTATCATTGCGCTAATAAGGTCATACTATAGGAGTTTCCGGTCTGCTGCAAACAACGATGCGAGAATCTTGAGTTTAGAGAGTTCGTACCTTCGCGGGCTTCGATGGCGGCCGGTTAAAGATGCACAGTTTGCTTTCCCCCCTCTCGGGCGGTACTTATGAGTGACCCCGCTCCTCGCCTGTTAGGTGCCGCACCGGGGTCCCTTCCCACATCGCGCAATAAAGGCGTTGTATAGGCGGTTTTCCAGTGCCGCACGACCACCGGAGTAGAGTTTAGGCGATTCCCGCCTCGTCGTAGACGTCAGACGAGGTCCCTTTCCCACACGCGCAATAAAGGCGTGTTAGGCGTTTTCCGCGTTCCAGCCTCATTACAACGACGCTAGAATCTTGAGTTTAAGAGGTCGTTACCTTCGCGGGTCTTGGCGGTGGCGGAGGCTTGTGGACCGAGGCAAGGGAGGAGGCACATTATTAATTTGAGTATTAGTTAACCAAAATTAATTAAGTAATTATTCTTAATTAATTATTTTATAAAATAATTATAATTAATTGAAAAATATTAATTAAAATTGCATTAAAATTATTAAAATGTAAGTTATATTAATTCTATTAAATAGAATTAATACTAACTTATTAATTAATTAATAAAAATTAATTGATAATTAGTTTTATAAATATAACTAATTAATAATAATTATTATAATTAATTTTAATTAATTAACATAATTAAGTTAAAATCATATTATAATTATTTTAATATTAAAATCCTATTCACGGGATTTGGCTAAAGAAGGCGTGAGGGGTGGAATTACCCTCACGGTTAGGCGTGCTCCCGTCTGGCCTCGATCCAACTGATAGGGAATGTCGTCGAGGAGCGGGTCGCCGGGAGGCAGGAGCGGGTCAGAGGAGACGCCGGTTTGGACAAGCAGTATTGGAGATCTTACCTCTTCTCTCTTTCTTTCTCTCTTTCTCTCTCTTCTCTCTCTCTCTCTCTCTCTCTCTCTCGTTGCGGATTGAAAGAGGTCTGGAGGAGGTTGCAGTTGGTTCGCCGTCACTGGGAGGTGGCGGAGAGATTGGGAGAGGAAGAAGAGTAGCGACTAGAGTCGTGGAGTAGCGCGAGAGAGTTTCGTGCGAGAGGAGGTCGGACGTCTAGAGTGGCGGTTGCGCGAGAAGCGAGATCGTGTCGGATCGGAAGAGGGAGTAGCGACGGTAGCAGGTAGTGGAGTCGGAGAGCTATGGGATCAGTGTGGAAGTGTCGAGCATCCCCCTCGCATTTAACGGACGATTTTGGGCGCTCGATCGAGCGCGAGCTCGCGGGAGTTTGAAGGATTTCCGGGAAAATGACGCCAACGGCGCCGAGCTTACAGGTTCAGCGGGATTCCTTGCTTGATTTTCGGGATTTTCAGTCGGGATTTCGGGCAGATATCGTGGATCCAACGGCTTACAGGTTAGCTGATTTTTTTGTTCTTTGGATAAACATTATTGAGGGTAACAAAAATCGCTTTGGATTCTGCATAACTGACTAACCATGCTCAGCAAGATGCTATGTTCTGATTAGTGTGGAGGGTAGATTAATTTCCCTACAAGTCTCTGGGTAGGCCCTTATCTAATCTGTCTTCTTTAGCTTCTCCCAATTAAAGATTTTGTTCTACTAGTTGTTGGTGCTGCTTACAGGCAAGTTACCTGTTTCTCTTAGAGATCTTTGATGGTATTTCTATTGTGAATAAAGATTCCTTTGCTTGGAGTGAGCTACTTCATTCTGAGGAAATATTTTAGTCTACAAGTTCTTTGATGTCAAAATCCTTTAGTAAGATTTTTCCTAAACTGGCTTTCTACTCTTCACTACTTCCACGTCAAAGTAATGTGGGATCAATCAACACTTAATTAATATGTGACTCCCCTTGAGTTCTGAGTGTTTGAAGAATAGTGTATGATCCCTTGACTCTGTCGATACCCATTCAGGAGCATGAATTTAGAAATTCTTCTCGAACCAGGCCTTGTTGATTGTTTGAGCTCATATAGAGCTTTTTTTCAGTTTGCACACTTTTTTACCTTCAGATTTTTTCTTTAAAGCCTGGTGGTATTTCCATTTAATTATCTCTTCTTCTAAGTCCTCATGCAGCGAATGCATTTTTTTACATCCAGTTATTCCAGTGTGCCAATTGTACTTGGCTGCTTAGTGAGAGTAGTATTCGGACAGTATTTCTTGGCCACAGGCGCCAAACGTTTCTTGGTAGTCAATGCCATTACGTTTGAGTAAACCCTTTTGCCACTAGTCTTGCCCTTATATCTCTCGTGTGCCATCAAGCTTTGTATTTTACTTGAGAACACCTATTTGCAGCGACGATTTATTCCCTATCGGTTAGGATTGACGATCTCTCATTATTTTTGTTCTTCTTC